CCTGGCCACCTCTTTGCTCTCTGCTTTGCCAGTGCATATTTTTCTCTTATTCCTTCTTTTTTGCCCATTCCAGGTTGAGTCTCACCTTTTCTTTTTGATGCTGTTTCAATGGCTCTGAGCTTTGCCATGCCACTTTGCTCTCCTTTTGGAGCTGGCTGAGAAGAACAGCATCCTTGTCTTGGCCTGAACCCGGACAGATGAGCTGAATGGCATTTCTGCCTCCCCTCGTTCATTTAAGCTGGTCTTATCCCTGGTGCAGCACTGGTTTCTGCAGAACAAGCTGCACCTCTGGTGGTCTGTGATGGCTCATGTGTTTCCAGAGACAGTTTGGCCACATGTCTGCATTTTTAGGAGTATCAACCTGGCTGGATCACTAGATCATTTTGCCCACAAAGCTGTAAAATTTACATAATTGCTCCCTCAGGGCCCATGGTTCACACTGTCTCTTGTTCTCTGCTGCCTTTCCCATGGTGTGCCACCACCTCAGAATCAGCTCTGAACAGGGCTGAGGCAGAGACATAACTGTGACTGCCAGTGCTCATGAAAATAGCATTTTTTGTTCCCAGATCCCTTCACCCAGATGTCCTGGTCCTGTGTTTGAATAGTAGCATTAGGCGTACAAAGAGAGACACAAATTACTCTGCAGGTTTGTTGTCAAAAGAAGAATGGTCTAAAAGCACTCTTGGAGTTGAAAGCTGGCACTGAGACAGGAGCAGCACTGTGATACCTTGTGGGAGAAGCCAGACTAGGAGAAAGGAGAATTTCCTCTTTCTTTTCACTATCCCTTTAGTAGATCTGTGTCCTGAGGCGCAGCAAAATAGGGGCTTAGGTTAAGGGCTGACATTTTGGATAGAAAGAGAAACTAATCTATTAATGTTACCTAGGTAGGCATGGCTGTAGCTAAGCATTGCTGTAAAGCTGTCAGTTGTCTCTTGTTTTGAGCTATACCAGACTCAGAACTGACACCAAATACGCCGTTCGTGTTTTATTGCCTGTGGAGCTGGCTGGATTCCAGCCAGACTGCTCCAAAAACCCTCCCCGGCCCCGTTTCACCCTCGCTGCCCCATTGGGTTTGCAGCACCCTGGGGATTTCTCTTTTATAGTTTGTCTAATGGCATCGTCAGTTTGCTCCTCACAGGCATTTGTTCTCTGCAGGATCAGTGTTTGTTCTCAAACATGAACATATTTACCGTGCCTGGCACAGAGCTCTGGAGCTGGGACGTGATTCCCCAGCCTCATACAGGCACTTAAAGCCTTTTCATTGTATCTGCAATGTATCTCAGCCTCGGGGTATCTTGCTGAGGCCTCAGTGCCCAAAATATCCCAAGGCTCCCTGTGTGTCGGGGTCTACACGTGCTGCGACTGTGACCTTCCTCCTAAATGCAGCTGATCGCTGAAGCCTTGGATGGTTGCTCAGACGTGCTCTGGCAGTGGCAGCACCCACCAGCTCCCCTTTTGTAGGGGACAAAGCACTTTGCAAGGTAAGAAGGTGGTGGGACTTTGGGAGGAGACAGGAAAAGCCAAGCTGGTAACAAAATCAGGGTACGTGGGATGATCTTGGAGAGACTTTCCGATCCCACAGACAAGAGGATATTACTTAGCAGTTGTTGGAGCTGTTTTATTTTTCTTTCAAAAAAAAAAAAAAAGAGTTGAAGATCCTGGCTAATTTCTTGCAAATTGTAGTTAAAAAAAAGAAGTGGCCTGGGTCTTGACATGATCCTTTATTAAATTCACTCTCACAAGCTTGCTTGGATTCAATCAGAAATTTTTAATGAGAACTTACATGATGGGATCTTATTCCCTTACGGCTGGGTTGATGTTTAGGGCTGGCACAGCCACCAGCGAGGTGGGGTTCCTGCAAAGCCAGTGCTAATCCTGTCTGGCATCGGGGGAGTGCAGATGCCAGGTCATCATAAGATGTCTGGGCTGCCGTTACTAACGGAGCTGTGAATTACTCTCACTCTGTAGGATCGCTGGATGAGCCTTGACTGGTTGTGGGCCTTGTGCTGACTTCGGGGGAGGGCCTGCTTCTCCTTGAAGAACTTGGAATCTAAGCAAGTGCCATGAGTGTCACCCCTTTTAGCCTTACCTTCCCTCAGCACACAAAATCCTGCCTCTTTGTGGTGAGTAACTGTGTTTGGGGCCTGTAGTGTAAAGGCTCCAGCAGGAGACGTGGGCTTCAGACCCCGTTGTGCCACCCTGCCGGGGCCCCTGTGAGAGGTACCACAGCACTGGGTCAGGCACGAGGGCTTCGTGGTGCTCACACGATCAAGCCCTTCAGCCAGGACCCTTGGCAGCTGTGTTTGCTACTGGGATGCTCCATGGGGATCGAAAGGCAGAGGCGTGCTGGGGACAGCTGGAGCCGATACCGAGGTGTTATAAAGCAGCTGTAGGTGATGGGGAAAGGACAAAAGCAGCTGTTGCTGCTGCTTCAGCTCACGAAAACAGCAATCCCAACTCAAGTTGTTCTTCTGGGATTCCTGGGCTCAGAGGCTGACGGGACCCTACGGGGCTTGCTGTGGGGTTTGTGTCAAGGGGTGGGCTGGGGAAGGCAGGGACTTGGTGCTGTAGCTACAGTGCCTCCCCTGGCTTTTCGCGGGAGGGGAGCTAGTACAGCCACCGAAATGTTTTATAGTCATGCCTGTTCTGTAAAGACTGACCTCAACCACTTTCTTTACTCATTGTTTTCCTTCCTTTGCAGCTAAACCCCATCCCGGTGTTCCCTTCCGTGACTGCGGCTGGCACTGAGCGTTGCACACACTTGCTATCTAGTGGCCAGAGGAAGGTACTGGATGCATTTTTCTCTGCTGCTTTTTGTGCAAGAGGACCATGCCACGGCGATACAGGCAAGAATCTGTACGTGTATTCATGCAAATTGTCAGGGTTATTGGTACTTTTTCAGCGGGATCGCTGTCTGAAAATTTTTTTGGTTGACGGTGCAGTCACTATAGAGGACTGAATTAGGTAAGGTACAGTCAATTGCAGTTGCAGAATGCATAGCTAAGGACTTTGTAGTAACTAACAGTGTTGGGAGTTTGTACTTGAAATCTACTGGAAAGTAGAGCAGAGACAAGCCACATCATAAAGAAAAAGACACTGGTAACATAATATACTCAACATTTTATTATAAAACCCTCTAAAGCGCCACTTTATAGGTCACAATTACAACAAAGGAAATGCCTTGAATTAGGAAAACAATAGGGACGCAGAGACATTGTTTAACCGTTTCTTGTCTGGGGAATGTGTGTGTTGCTCAGGACCATCCCCTGATGGAGATACCACAGCACGACCAGTGAAGGTGACTGAGCTGGGGTGGGGAAAGCAGCGCTGCTCTTGTCCAAAGCTGTCTCATTACCACGGTGAAATGTCCGGACAACTTCTGGAGGACAACAGCAGGATGTACAGTAAGGGCATGGTACTACACATATATTTAGGGTGTAGAGAAGGTCTCCTGCCAGCTAGTCATGGGTCAAAACAAAAAGCTTCATGGTGTCTATTGCCTCCCTGTGCTTTGGAGAGGAAAGCCCCCTGGATCCTGAACCAGAGGTTTCAGTGGTTTGTTTGCATGAGTTTTTCCCACGTGCAAACCTTGCACAGGGACAGGCCTGACAGCTGGGGCTGATGTACTTACTTCTCCTGAGGCCTGGGATTCGCGATTCCTCCATCTGCACTGCAGCAGAGTCTTTCAAAGTAAAGAAAAAATGGGAGCGCGGGTCACCTTTCTTGCCTTTAGGATATCCTGATGAAGTGCTTTGTCGCACCATGGCAGTGGCAAGCAAGCCCAGAGCCCCTTGTTCCCCCCAGGGCTACCACCCGCTCTGGGTGTCACAGCCCTGCACCTGCCTCCCACACAGCCGCTGGGCCTTTTTGTGAAGAAGCATCCCTTTAGAGGTGATCTCAGGTCCATCAGTGGTTTTCAAGGGTTAGGAAGGTACAGCATTTTTCCTGTCTGTCATTACTCTGGCTCTTGGTGCTCCTCACTGGCATAGCTGCAGGATGCCAGGAACAACCCAGCCAGAGAACTTGTGCTGCTTTAGCTTTGAGCTTGGGCTCCAGGACTGAAGGACCATCAGAGGAAACAGGCAGAAACGGATCCAGGCCATCAGACAGGAAAGCAGGTTACAGGGAGGAAGAGGGTACATTGATTTCTGACACCTTCCCACCCTCCTTCAGTATCACTAAGCTGAGCAGTCTCAAATGTTTAACATCTTTCATTAGGAAGCTTGGCTAGGGCAGAGATGGGTGGGCTCTGTGGGCCACACTATAATAATTTGGAAATAAGGGTGAGAGCACCAAGCAGCGCACCAGAGACACTGCAGTACAACCTCACCTGTCAGGCCTGGAGGAGACCCTGCCTGTGTGGAGAGGCCCCTTTTGCATGGGGTCATCTTCAGCAGGCAGGGACTGCTTTACCTCCCATCCCCTGGGACAGGGCAAGCCCTGAAGGATACATTGGGATTCAGCTTCCTCATGCAACAGCTGAGCAGGCTTAGCCTTTGGTAAATTAACAAACCTTCAAATATGATTTTTATTTTTTTTTTTCTCCGAACAAACTCCTCAGGTGAAGTAGACTGAGATCCTCAAGAAAATTAACTGAAGCTGTTTGGCAGATCTTCTTTGTCCAGAACTCCTGATGCCACCAGTCTGTAACACAGTTTACAGTACGAGAAGGCAAGCAGGGATCTTCTTCAACATGCTGGCAACTCTGCAGCAGGCTGTTAGGAGTAAGCACGTGGTGGGATACATCAGGACACTGATTAAAAATTCCCTGGATGGGCTGCTGTGTGCTTCTCGTTCATATCTCAAGCACTGCTCAGGTGAGGGTCTTGCCCTTGACTGAAGGCTGGATGAAATGCAGCTGAGTGATGACTGGCAGCAAGACAGGTGAGAATTCAGTTGGCTGTGATTTGCCAGGACAGGTTGAAAACCACCAGGGTATAAAGGATAGCAGAGGCCCTTCTGAACCCACTACTGTCACTAATATAGAAACCTTAATAACTCATTGATAAGCCTTCAGAGTAGAAATACACAAAGCACCCCTATGTACAGTAACGTTCTTGTTTACATCAACTGGGTTAGGAATTTGATGCAAGGATTGCCACTGGTTGTTATTGTTTTAGCTGTGTGATTGGGACTTGTCTGGAAAGAGCACGATCACTCAGGATGTCTCATATCAGCAACTGTTGACTCCATTGCTGCATCTGAGCAGTTGGTGTGACGTGGAGGAGGCGTGTGGTGCGTGGTTGTGTTGCACACCCAACCTCCACCCACAGATGATTGATTCCCCTTGGCCACGCGTGGGCAAATTTAGTCCATCTCTGAAAAACGTAGTTCTAACTAGCTCCTTTCTTCTCCCATTCCTGCCAAGGAATAAAGGCAAATTAGTCAAAAAGCAAACCTGACAAGCCACAGTAACTGTAATGTGCACAGGATCAACCCGATCATCTGGTACCCGACTGGTTTTGGTCGCAAGGGTGTGTCAGGGATGTTTCTCCATTATGAGCAACACACACAGTTATTAATTCAAATTGCAGCCAAGGCAAACCCAGGTGAAAAGGCTGGAAGAAAACCAGGCGGGTCTGCTTAGAGTGGCGCTCAGTCAGGGGTGCTTCCCAGCCAAGAGATCTCCCCTGACCCACCACAGCCAGTCTGCTCCACTGCCATGAGGGACAGGCAGTGGCTGTCCCAGATGGATTTTGCTCCTGTACCAACTGGCACATTACCTTAGCTTTCTGTAGAACTGTTCCCTTCCCTGTCACCATGACGGATAAAGGCCGGTTTTTTAAAGCTGTTGCTGAATTGACTGGCGAGTTCTCTGTGCTATTTGCTGGACTAGCACTTTTTGCTTGAATCTGCAATAACAATAATAAAGCAGTCATGAATTCAGGCTACTGAGGGAAATCGCTGCCTTTTCTCACCACCTCCTAGCCATGGTCACATCCAACGTGCATTGAAAGACATTTATTCAGAGACATGCCAATTTCAAAATACACTAGGGTGGGTCTGTGGAGTGTGTTTAGATGTTGAGGACTCAAGCAGAGGTGCAAAGCAGGGCTTAGGTGGTGACCATCTGTTTCATGGGAGCCAAGTTCCCCAGAAGGAATTTAGACTCCTGTATCTCCTCCTGCCAAAACACCCCTTAGCTCATTTGAGCACAGAAAAGGAGCTGGGTCCAGCCCTGCACGACTGCAGAGGGTCCCACAGGAAAATATAGCTACCCTCCTGAGCCTCAGCTTCCTTTCACCTCTTCATTGCTGCTGTTACCTCATTATATTATTATTATATTATTATTGTATGTATATTAGATGTAATAATTAACTTATTTTACATATAATACTTATATTTATACATTATCTCTGTATTTATATACAATTGCATATTATAATACTATACTGTTGTTATTAATCATCCTATTATTAAGCAGGCTGAGACAGTGTGACTGCCTCACTGCTGTGCATCCCAGGGGTGCCCCCCCACGTACCCGGGGGGCTGCGTTCTCCAGGTGTGTGGTGTCCACTGCAGTGCCCAGCGTCACTGGGCCAGACTCTGCCTTCTTCAGGTTTTCCTTCACCTCCATCAGTTCCAGGTCCACCCTCTGGCTCTCCTTCCTTTTGCATTCTTCTTCTGTCTCCTTGAGCCTCTGCTCCAGGCTCTTGTCTGTGAAGAGAAGGGGTAACTTGGTGCTGGCCGGGAACTTGGGGAGCTTGTGAAGGGAACAGGGACCATGGCACGTGCTGTATATATATTCCTTATATTTTGCCCCAAGAGGGACTGTGACAGAGCACGCTCCTCCTCTAGTGCAATTTTGGGCTGTGTGGTTCTGCTCAAAGCACCAGGTACTCCCCTGCCCCTTCTGGTCCCAGGTGGGCCAGGTTCACTGTCCCCTCCGTCCCAGTGCTCCCACCT